CTACTTTTATTTTTGAGCTAAAAATGCTTAGGAGGCAAAAGGTTTTTATTTGATCTCACCAACCACCAGCACAACCTGTGTGGGGGATAGGGTTATTCTCCCTAGGGTTGTTGTGATAATTAAATGAAACAATGCTTATGATACATTAGGCAGTGTGTTTGACGGTATGTTTATGAAATTACTATAAATGGTAAAAATTGTTGAAAGTAACAGAAAAATAAAAGCTTTTGTGCTGTGTAAAAATCAGGAATATTTAGTTTTAATGTTTAGGGATTCCATTTTGTTTCAGGCAGATGGATGATCTGGGGTGGGAGATCTCACGCACATAAAATTGGATCCTTCAATGAAACACGATTGACCTGGCAGGAAGCAATGGAAATCTCCAAAGCTGGGTCTGTTGGTGGGTAGGGTTGGCATAGGAGGTTTGGGAAAGGCTTGAGCAGAAATTAAGACGGAATGATGAGAAAATGATTACATCCAAAGACAGGCTCCCCTGAGGATGGATGTCCAAAGTAGCTTCACATGTGAAGACTGGTCCTTGAGCTGTTGCCAAGTTTGACGGACTCAACCTGGGACTCCGGAATTAATTTGGGAAAGCTGGAAGAGAGCTGGCTCCCAAGAAATGTAAACATAAATCTTTTTGGAGGAGAGCAGCCTGAATTTAGGACCCTGAATTTTCACAGATTCAGATTACCCAGATATGAGTTTCAATCAAAGACCACCAAATGCTGAAGGAAACACCACTAAGAAAAAGAGTCAGCATAAAAAATACATTTAAATTCCTAGCAAATTCAGGTATTAGAATTTCCAGATAAAAAGTATATAACTTAATAAATAATGAACACTCAACAAAAGTCTTAAAAATTACCAAGCATATAAATTCAAATTGAATTGAATTTATAGAAATGAAAAAGTAATAATTAATACATTTTTAAAACTCAACAAATAAGTGAGCTAGATATAGATTTAAAGAACTCTATACTATTCTATATCAAAATATAGAACAGAAAATCATGAGTATAAAGTGAGGAGAGGTTAAGGGTGGACAGAGGATAAAAGTAAAAGGTTTAACATTCATCTAAACAAGCATCCCAGAAGGAGAGGATAATGGTAATACAGACAAGGCACTATCTAAAGAGAGAATGGATGAAACTTTTCCAGAACTTAGAAAAAACATAAGTCCTCAAACACATGAAGCACATTCTATACCAAGCAGGACAAGTTTTTAAAAAATCTACCTCTAGATAAAATGAGGTGAACTTGAAAAATCTTAAAGACAAAGGAGTGTATTAAAAATCACTCAGAAAGAAATGAAAGATAGTCACAAAGAATAATTGTGAGGTTGGTAACATACTTCTCAACAGCAGTCATGGAAGCCAGTCATAGAGTGGTATGTGCCAGCAGAAGAATAACTATCGATATAACGTTATAGTTGTGGCCCTAACCAGTTTGGCTCAGTAGATAGAGTGTCAGCCTATGGACTGAAGGGTCCCAGGTTCAATTCCGATCAAGGACTTGTACTGTGGTTGCGGGCACATCCCCAGTAGTGAGTGTGCAGGAGACAGCTGATCAATGTTTCTCTCTCATGTATATTTCTAATTCTCTGTCCCTCTCCCTTCCTCTCTGTAAAAAATCAATTATATATATTGAGTTACAGTTGCAAACACAACAATATTATATTTCAAATACAAGGGCCAAAGAAATAATATTCTTAGTTAAATAAAACTGAAACAAATTTATCAACAAGGCCACAAAAGGAATGTTCTAAAGTTTTAGTTTAGAAGAAGGAAAAATAAATCTAGGGAAAAAGTGTGGAAGAAAAGCAAGCAGATAAAATCATAATAATGATAATGCCTAATTTGTATAAGTTTAATAAAAAAAACAAATTATCTAAGCCAAGCTGGCGTCACTCCGTGGTTGAGCATTGACCTAAAAACTCGGGGAGGTCATAGTTCAATTCTCAGTCAGAGCACATGCCCAGGTTTCCCAGTGTGGGGCATGCAGGAGGCAGCTGATTTTCCCTCATCATTAATGTGGTTTTTTTTCTCTCTCTCTCTCCTTTCCTCTCCCTTCCTCTCTGTAATCAATAAATATATTTTTAAAAAACTAGCTAAAATGAAAGAAAATGTACATATATAAATTATGAGAGCGGTAGTGAGAATTAATGTTCTAAGGATCTTGTCTGTTGGTGAGAGGTTTAAGATATTCTTTGTAGTCTTTGATAAATAGACAAGGTAACATTTTATGAGTAACCATAAAGAATTGAGACCGAGAGTTTAATTTCCACATCAGGGAGGAGGCAAATTTATGCAGTAAAAATGAACACAGAGGCTTATTTTTATCACATAATAAATAAAATAAACTACACTCAAATTGTAAATCCTTTGTAGAGTCCTCAGGTATTAAAATTGGGTTGGAGAGAATATGGTGCTGGGAATTCCACAGTGAGAATTACACCTGGGCAGAAGAAGAAGATTCTGAGGATTGGTGGTGGAGGGAAAGCTAGGAAAGCTTTTATAGCAGAGAAATCAAAAGCTGAAGGGCCGTGGCAGCATGGACTGAGCTTTAGCCATGCTTTCTATAGAGGCTAGAGGCAGAGCCATGGCAGCTGGTGAGAGAATGGCTGACAGATGCTGAGGAGACAATAGAAATTATATCCATTAAACTGCATGCACCCCCCCCCCCAATAGACCTCCACTCCCACCCCACACCCACTTCTCCCAGGCCTTCACCGCCCTATTGCCTGTGTCTATGGGTTATGCATATACACATATAAGTTTCCCATTAACCACTTCCCCCTCTACAACCCCCGTCCCAAACAGATTCTTTATCATGAGAAGCTAACTGCATTCAGAGTTACCATGGAGGGAACTTCAGCACTTAGTGAGTGGCTGGATGAGACTATCTATACAAATCTCTTCCACACTTGAGAGTCTACAGGACTGTGAGGGTCAGGGCTAAGAGCTCAGAGCTCAGATCCATAGAACTGGATACCCTCAGTATCCAGTTCAACTTTTAAAACAGCTACATTTTCCACTTAACTTTGTCCCTGAGCATCTGAAAGCCAGATTGGCATTGGTATATTTTAAGACTCTATACACCTGGAAACACTTCCCTTCAGAGGTTAGCTTAGGCAATATTTCCTCCAGGATGTGTTCCTCACCCCACCCCTAATTCCAGCTCAAGTGTCTTCCTCCCACATCTCCCCCAGACCATGCCACTTCTCATCTATTTTATCATCAATCAGTCTTTGTATTGGTTTCCTAGGCCTCAAATAACAAAGCCACAAATGTGGTGGCTTAAATAACAGAAATGTGTTGTCTCACAGTTCTGGAAACTGGAAGTCCAAAATGGAGGTGTCAGCAGGGCCCACTTCCCCTGAAGACTCTCCCTCCTTGCCTCTTCCTGGCTCTGGTGGTTGCTGGCAATCCTTGTGTTCCTCAGCTTGAGGGTGTATCACTCAAATGCCTGTCTCTGTCTTCAGATGGCTTGTCCCCTCTGTGGCTGTGTCTCTCCTCTTCTTAAAGAGACATGAGTGATGATGGATTTAGAGCCCACCTTAATGCAGCATGATTTCATCTTACTTTAATGATGAAATTAAAGTTTCTATTTCCAAATCATGTCACGTTTACAGGTACTGAGTGTTAGGGCTTCAATATATCTTTTGGGGGATATAATTCAACTGGCAATATCCCCCAGCCTCCCATGCTCACTACCTGTGGTTTAGAGGACTGTGTATTTATGCCACATATTTTTATTGTGTTGACTATGAACCACACTCTGATCTGACACTGAAGACAAGTCACAATCAGGGTTCCCACCCTCAGTGGCACTTGATTCTACATGAGTGCAGATAGTAAAAATGTAGCAATTCAATGTTGAAGCCAAATTCCATGCAGGTAGGTAGAGATAGGCAGATGATTGATGATTAGATAGATAGATAGATAGATAGGTAGATAGATAGAAACTATCCTATCTAATAAAAGAGTGATATGCAAATTGACCATCACTCTAAGACACAAGATGACTGCCCCCAAGTGGTCAAAGATGGTTGCCTCCATGTAGACACAGATGGCCACCACAAGATGTTTGGCAGGGGAGAGCAATTGTGAGCAGTTGGGGGGGAGAAAGGCCTGCAGGGGAGAACATTTTTTTGGGGGGGAGAACCCAGCCTGCAGGGGAGTGCTGTTGTGGGCAATCAGGCCAGCAGGGAGGACAGTTAGAGGTGACCCGACCAGCAGAGGAGGGCAGTTGAGGGAGACCAGGTCAGGAGAGGAGGGCAGTTGGGGGGAACCAGGCCTGCAGGGAAGGGCAGTTAGGGGTGACTGGGCCAGCAGGGAAGAACATTTAGGGGCAACCAGACTGGCAGAGGAGGGCAGTTAGGGGTGACCAGGCCAGCAGGGAAGGCCAGTTAGGGGCAATTGGGCAGGCCAGAGAGCAGTTAGGCATTGATCAGGCTGGCAGTGGAGTGGTTAGGGGATGATCAGGCTGGCAGGCAGAGTGGGTTAGGGCAATCAGGCAGAGGCAGGCAAGTGATTGGGAGCCACCAGTCCTGGATTGTGAGAGGGATGTTTAGGCCTAAACAGGTAGTTGGATATCCCTCAAGGGGTCCCAGATTGGAGAGGGTGCAGGTTGGACTGAGGGACACCCCCCCCACCCCGTGCATGAATTTTGTGCACTGTGCCTCTAGTACTTGATAGAGTTTTGATGAATGATATTAATACAAACAGTAAAAAACAAAGGGTAAATTAGTCCATTTCATCTAGCCAGTGCCTTTTGGCATGCTTACAGAGTCTAAAACTGATTTATCTTTGTTCCCTGTAAAACTTTGTTCTCCAGTCCTTACATTCATAGTGTCAGTTAACTCCCATCACTCTAGCCCCCTACACAGTGCTCCTTCCCATCAGAAAGTAAGGTTTGTAAAATATACCCCTGACCTTTTTTCTTTAAATCCAAATGTGCTACTAATGAAGGAAACACTCGCTGTCTTTGCCTTCCAGGGCAGCGTCGGCTCCTCTCCGTCTCCATTTGCCCAGGTGCCAGGTGAGTACTTCAGCCCAACGAGCTATGCACCCATTCCCTTTTGAGTTTCAATGGGACACCTGGGCCCTGGTTCTTTTATAACCATCCAACAGCACATTTCAAATGTTGCCTCCTTAAAATAGTGGTTTTTAAAATATAAAATCAGTGATGAGAGAGCTAATTCAGTTACTACTAAATTTAGAATTCATGCTGTCTTGCAGGCAGCCTTTGGATCATCTGCCTAGCAGAAGCTTATTGGGTAAAGGCAATAGCATGTAGGTTCTTGATGGCATTTTAAAAGGTCTAAAATTCTGGCACCATGATCTGGTGGATTATGCACCTGCTTTAGCACACAAGGAGAGAGACCTGTGGGCAGATGGGAAACAAGCATATATTGAGTTCTCTCTATATGTCAGGCACTGGGTTAAGTGTCTTGTCTTCATTTCAATACATATGTCTCATTAAATGCCCCTATGGGACCCAACGGGGGCATTTCTGATGACAGCAGTGGTCACTTTCTTAGGTGCACACACACACATTCTTTCCAGATCCCAAACTCAGAGGTACCATAACAATTAATAATTTTAGGAACTTCTAGAGATAGATAGGGAAAGGAATAAGCAGAAGGTTCACATGTCTGAATGCCTCTATTGTGCTTCCCATTCACATTTTATTGTCACTGAATTCTGCTCCTTTTTATATAAGGAAAACTTATATAGCTTCTCTTACCACCTAAAATTATTCTTCCTCTTCTTAAGAAGAAAAAAAAATGCTTAACACAGCAGAGGGTCTTTCTTTGTGGTTGTTTTTATTTGAAGATTAGAAATATAAATGTAAGACCCTGGGATCTGTGTACATAGTCTCAATTCTGTTCTTGGCCATAGCCACTCCCTTGGATATAGCGCTGTGGTATGAGACAGAACCTTAGGTATTGATTCTGATTTTCATTTGCTCCAGATTCCCCACCCCCTAGGGAAATGTGCTTAAGATAAAACCCCTCACTGTAGCTTTCGAACTCGTGAGCAAATTAGAAGTGAGGGGCTATACATTTTAAGATAAAAATGGAGTGGGTAGCATTGTGCTATATGTTTCTACAAGTGCTTCTGGATGAATGAGTGCGTTTAGATGTAACTGTTGAGCACAGTAATAAAATAGCATGTTTACAGAAAATGTATAAAAATATAGGCCCTGCCCACAGGGCACTCGTATGAAAGAGGTTGTAACTCAGGTGGGAGAGTAGTGAGCATAACATGAAGAGCCACATCATGTGACAAGGCCAAAATGCTATGTGTGGAGTGACCTAGGACTGAGTCATGGTACAAAGGACAGTCTGACTTCTCTCCCTATAGACGAGTGGGCAGGGTGGCAGGGGCAAAGATCAGAAGTGGTCACTGGTTGGGTGGGGGGAGATATGAAAGTCAAGCATCTGCATCTCCCTCCCACCTTAGCCCTTCTGTGGCCTCCATGTGTTAGTCTTGGTCGATAGGAGCACATCCACCATGCGCAGGCCAGTTTAACTGAGTCCAATCCCTGAGCACGTTCTCAGTGATTATGTTTCCTGCTGCGACCGAGCTACAGTCAGAAAGTCCTTAGCACACACTTCTTTTCCCTTCTGGATCCATTGCATTCGCCTTAGTCTTACATATGACTCTTAGTTTTAGCTTCTTCCCCTGTTTCCCCCAGAGAAACTGCCATGCATTCTCTTCCCAAGCATGCAGTGGCCACACTATGGCCACAAGAGGGCAGCAAATAACACTGGTCTCCCGAAGCCTGACAATTTTTTGTGGTCCTTCCCCTAACTAGATTTCACAGAAGCCATATCATTCCAAAGCAAGCCAGGTGGGTGGATGCTAGACACGGTGTTGAAAGTCAGTGAGTAGCCCTAGCTGGTTTGGCTCAGGGGATAGAATGCCCGCCTATGGATTGAAGGGTCCCAGGCTCGATTCCAGTCAAAGGCACATGCCAGGGTTGCGGGTTCAGTCCCTAGTAGGAGACCTGCAAGAGGCAGCCGACCAGTATTTCTCTCTCATCATTGATATTTCTATCTTTCTCTCTCCCTTCCTCTCTGAAATCAATGATATATATTGATAACACACACACACACACACACACACACACACACACACACACACACAACCTACCTGGGGATTAGGATGGGGTCAGAGTATCACCTTATCTAGAGTCACTGAATCTCAGATAATATGCAGGCTCTTGTGGATCAATACCTAATGGAGTGAACCATCCAATAGCTATTGCACCATCTAAAGGGAACTCATCAGCGAAGGAGAGGGAATGTCGAACATATCATTATTTGGACTGGACCACATGAAAGAGGTCATGTGGCCACACTTCACACACTCGAGGCGTGTATCTATCTGAAGGCGGCCTGGATGGGAGCATGTGCCACAGACGCCTTGCCTCTCCCGGGAGGAAGCGAGTGCTTGTTTGCTTCTCATTTGGCAACAGGGTCACCGGTCATGTCAGGCTACTACGGCGTCCGGAGGTCCTTCCTGTCTGACTCGGACTTCCACGGCACCAAACAGTTTGCAAACGATGTGTGCGCCGCCAGCGTGGCCAGGCCCTTTCCCTGCGAGCCCTCCTCTGCCGGGCAGAGCCACCCCACCCTTCTGGACTCCTATTTCCCGGAGCCCTACGGGGACCACCGCCCGCAGGCCCTGACCCCCAGCGCTGGCCCACTGTTCGGGTCCTCGGCCCTGCCACCGCTGCTGCCACCACCCCTCCCCAGCGACCCCACACACTTCGTGTTGGTGAGTATGCAGCTAGTTCACTGAGGGGGTGACTGAGCTCAGGGCTGGGTGGTCTGGCCAGCCCTAGCGCTTGGTAGCAGGACTGAGACCGGGTGTGGTCACCCTGGAGACCCCTGAGGCTGCCCTGAACCTGCCCCCAGATATGCCAGGACAGGTGCCCTCCAGGGCACTCTCCGAAGGTGTTCTCCCATCGTTCCCACAGCACAAGGGGAGGGCCTTACACCTCAGACCAGGCACCTGAGTGCTGTGGGAGGGGTGGGTCGGAGTGGTTCCCACCATGCTTCCCACCCCACCCACAGGCACTTCCATTCTCTAGAGCCTGTTCTCTCTGTGTCCTTCCAAAGGGGAGCCCATGCAGCTCTGAACACCAACACCCTCCTTAGAGAAAACAGTGAAGCCTTCACCCTCCAAGGAATGAATCTCTCTAAAAATGGGATTTTAAATGGAGATTGGGGGACATTATTAAGCACCTACGCCAGCCAGGAACTTTTCTGTGCCTTTGTCCATTTACTCCTTGCAACATCCCAGGATATAGTTTTTAAAGCCTCATTTCACAGCTAAACAAAGTGAGTGCTCCATCAGGAACCTAGTAAGTGTCAGGATGGAAATTATGGGCCTAGTAAGTGTCACAGGGTGGCAAGATTGAACCTACGAAGTGTCACAGGATGGAAAGAAGATTGAACCTACTAAGTGTCAAGATGGAAGACTGAACCTAGTTAGTGACAGGATAGAAAGATAGAACTTAGTGTCAAGATAGAAGATGATAGGAATCATAATCTTTCCATCCTGAGCCAATGCGATCTCCACCTCTTTGCTCAGCAAGGCAGGTGTCCTTCCCGGCCCACTCAAACGCCCATTGGCAGCCCAGAGGCCCACTCCTTCCAGGAGCCGCTGCCCAACTTCCCACTGTGGAAAGGCTCAAAAAGAATAGAGGACATTGTGCATTGTAAATGTCAAACTGCAGGATAAACATTCATTTTCTTATGCTCCCATTTCACTCATTTCATGTGGTCTGGGAAAGGAATCTTACTACCTACAGGGAAACTGCAGCTTCATTGCTGTGTCTGTCCCAGAGGGAAAGGCTGCGGGCCAGGAGGCTTCGGACGGGGTGGACACCCAGCCCTCTCTGAGCAGCACCCCGTGCTGGGAGGAAGGCTGTTCACATCAGAGTCTCATGGAATGACTAACCCTGGTGACCTTTCCATTCCCCTCAGAGAGACTCCTGGGAACAGACAGTGCAGGATGGCCTCAGCCAGCTCGACTCTGTGCCCACCGACACCCTGCAGACCTTGCCACCCAGCACGAGTTGCCTCTCCCAACTGGAGTCGGGGAGCACTGCCCAGCACCGGAGCTCAGGCTGGGGATCTCCCCTGCCTGGGGCTCAGTCTTATTCGTTGCATGCCTTGGAGGATCTGTACCACACACCAGGATACCCCACCCCGCCCCCATATCCCTTCGCCCCCTTCACCACAGTGTCCAACGACCTGCCCCCCAAGGCAATGTCCCTCTCCCCAGAAGAGGGGTCAGATGCCTCTGCCCTTCAGGACCCTTCTCCGTGGGCCAAAGAAGACGGGGGCATGGTGTGGGGGTCGTACGAGTGCCGCCGAGCCTACTGAGGGATGGATGCACCACAGAACATCTCTGCTTCTCTTTCACTGGGGTTCTGTATCCCACAGATGGTCTTTGGTGTGGGAGTCACTCGGAACTGGATTTTCAAAATAGGCCATCATGCCCTCCCCCCAACTTTGTTAATGGACAATGGCATTTATTTGTACTGTTGCTCAGGGACCACATTCTAATGAGACAACCTGCCAGTGGAGCCTTTGAGGAACGTTAGTGACCCATTGCCCTCTGAATCTTCTGTTATCTTTGAGGTATCATTTTTGACACTGATATTTCCCCTTATAGTACATTAAAAAGTTTCTGTGGATCCATAACACATCCTGATTCTCCTGTTCAGTTTTTCTTAGGTATGAACTATGTGTTTTCTTTAGTATAGAGAATTCATAGGATAAAATGTAGATTGGGGCACAGCAGACAAACCTCATTTTGTGCCATATGACTTTAAAGCACTCTCCTTACTATGGCCTGCAAAGACCCAGTGACAGATCTATCATTACACCGGAATGCTTCATTGTCATTAAAATAGGAAGGAGTCAGGAGTCTATGGCTTCTTAAATATATAGTTTTGACTTTTCCCAAAAGCACAGGATGTCTGAAAATTAGGTTACTCAAAAAAAAAAAAAAACACACAACAACAAACAAACAAACAAAAAAACACCAATACAGACCCAAACTTATTTTTGATCAATGGTTGCCACAATTAGCTAGACATTGTCTCTCTGGAGGCATAAACCTAGGGTTATTAGAGTGGGTCAGTAGAATGGGCACTCTGACCCAATAAGAACAAGTGCATTGCAAAGGAAATACAGAGAGCAGAACCGCACGGTGGGCAAAAGGCAGCAGACCGCACAACACCCAGAGGCAGAGGCACTTGGAAGAGGGGCATATTGTCAGGTGTGGGCCAGAGTTACACAGGTTTCCCCAGTGAAGGAAGACCTTGTTGGGAGCTCATTGGTCAGAACCCTACACATCTGACTGTGTGTGAATGAAGAAACTGACATCGGAGGCAGTCATCTGTCTCATGTAAGTTTGATTGGCATGAATTCCTTTGCCAATGAAGTTCCCAGAGTAATTTCCACCAAGCAGAGTGCCTAGCTAAATGCCCCTCAGACACTTGGACTTTGCAGTGCATGAACCAAGGTCCATTTGCTATACACACGCTCTCCCTCTTAGCTTCTTACCACCCTCCTTTATTCCCGTAACACATTTTCCTCCTGACCCGATGCATATCCCTTCCATCCCCTGGCGCCCAGTGCTCTCATTTTGCACTTGGTTGCCCAAAGCCCCTAAAGAATCTGCATCACACCCCTGAGACAGTATCCCTAAGCTCTTCCTCAGCGAGGTAGGAGTCCAGAAAAGCACAATGGAGACATTAGTTAACACTTCGAAGTGAATAATTGATCTTCCTCTTTCTCCAGGTCTTCTAGAGTGTTTGCTGGCTAAGTAAACACTCTCCTAATGTATAGAACACCCACTGCAATGCTTAGATAGAGAGATTTCCTTTATTTCAAACCCCTCAGCACCTTCCTAGGAGAGCATCTCTACAGGAGATCTGGGAGCACTGTGGTCCTCAGCTGCCAGGCTGCACTGTCCTGGTCCCCTGCCCTACTCCTGTCTTCCTGCCCTCTTTTTCACCCCCTGATCTTCACTTTGCTCCATATTTGCTCTTCAGTGGATTGGGAGCAATGTTTACTGTGAGGGAGAGAGCTTCTCTTTAAGCCCACTGAGTCCTGTTCGCAGGATCCTAGGCAGAGCCAGCTGTCATCCAGCATCATGCACATCTGGACAGCAGGTCCCTGCAGCAGAAAGAAGAGTTCTCGCCCTCTCCATAGATGTGGGCACCTTCATTGGGGTATCAAAGTGATTTTCCTAGATGGGCTGTATAAAATGTATAATAATTACAGTCATCTGTTTACCATCTGTTACCAAACAGCACACACAATAAAGGCTGTGTAAATCCTAAGTATATCTCCACAACACTTGAACTTTTGCTTGAGTATAATGCCGAGTAGTAGGCATGCTTACCTCTCTTAATTCACTGTTGTCTTCTCACATATCACCGTCATCTCTTCACAACCCGGGTACACACTGGCTCTCAGGTAGCTACAGCTCAGGAACCAGCAATGTCTACATTCTTCTTAAAGCACCCATGCCCTTCTATTGCATTTAACAAAAATTAACTTATAGAGAAGGAAGCATACACAGGCCCATACTCTAGCTAGAATCCATTTCAGTTGTCTAGTCTAATGGGGATGGTGACAGGGAGTGGTTCTAATTATTCCAAAGATAAGTAATTTTTAAGAATTCTATTTAGCTTTACAGTGTGTTTCTATGTTTCATATACTTTGATTTGGTTCTTTCATCGTTCTAGGGATTTACAACACTTTCTTCAAAAGTGAAACCAAGCTATAAAATTATGTCAGGGAAATTAATTGTGTTTCCCTATCCCATTTCCCATCTCAGTACTCTCCATTTCCCACTTCATTCCAGAGACTAGCTGCATCGTTTCATAATAATGAGCAATGCCAGCATAAGAAGGAAAAAATGCACCTTCTCCCTCACTTTCCTTCCTTGAATCTGCTGTGCTCTCCCTCACAGCTTTCCTGAGGAAACCAGAAAAAATTAGTGAATCCAGGTTGAAGACATCATCTCTTTCAGGTCCTTTAAGACTAAGCAGTGATGCCCTGGCCAGTGTGGCACAGTTGGTTGGCATTGTCCCTTGCACTGAAAGGTTACTAGTTTGATTCCCAGTCAGGGCACATGCCTGGGTTGTGCGCACAATCCCTGGTAGGGGGCATGCAGGAGGCAGCTGATCCATGATCCATATTGAGCTTTGACATCAATGTTTCTCTCTCTCTGTCCCCCTCTCTCTTCCTCTCCCTCTAAATTCATCTATAATAATAGAAGCATAATATGCTAATTAGACCAGATGTCCTTCCAAACATCCTTTCAGACGACCTTCCAGATAAAGCTGGGGCTGCAAGGGAAGCCCAGGTCCCAGGTGCCTGCTGGTGACGGAGGAAAGCCTGGGTGCCGGGTGCCAGAGGGAAACTGGTGCTGGCAGCAGGGGGAAGGAAGCCCTAATATTGCACTAATTTTTTGCATTGAGTCTCTGGTTAATAATAATAAGAAAAATATTAAGCAGAGGTGGTGATGTCAAGTTCATGACACTTAAGAAAGCTTACTGGCCCTGGCCAGTGACACTAAGTGGTTAGGGTGTTGGCTCATGCACCAAAAAGGGTCACAGGTTTGATTCCTAGTCAAGAGTACCTGGGTTGCAAAGTTCACTCTCCACCCTTGGTCAAGGCACATTTGGGAGACAGCCAGTTGATGTATCTCACATTGTTTTCTCTCTCTCTCTCTTTCTCTCTCTCGCTCTCGCTCTCGCTCTCGCTCTCATTCTTTCCCACCCTCCTTTCTTCCTCCCCTCCTTCTCTCCCTTCTACTCTCTCTAAAAAGCAATGGGAAAATATCATCTGGAGAGGATTAACAAATAAATAAATGAAGTAAAATAAAAACAAATACAATAAAAAAGAAACCTTACTAGATGACAAGATAAAAAAGAAGTTGAAAGTAAAATGTGCCTCTGCAAAACTTGTAATGCGGACAAAATAAATCAATGGAAACAGACATTAATCAGAGTAGTAGTTGAATGTATTTGTGTGTCTCTTATAATGTTATACAAATCCTAAAAGTGAGAGAAGAAAACCACATCTTTACCTTATTTATTTAACAAATGCTAAATGAGCGTTATGACTTGCTACAGTTCATTTAATAACACAATATGATGCTACTGTAGTACTGAAGTACTACAAGTACACAATAAGAAATTCCACAAAGCCCTGTCTGGTTTGGCTCAGTGGATAGAGCATCGGTCTGCCAACTCAAGGGTCCCAGGTTCGATTCGGCCTGGGGCGTGTACCTTGGTTGAGAGCATATCCCCAGCAGGGATTATGCAGGAGGCAGCTGAGGGATGTTTCTCTCTCATGGATGTTATTCTCTATCTGTAAAAAAAAAAAAAAAAAATCAATAAACTATGTTTATAAAAATTAAAAAAAAGAAATTCCACAAAGAGAAAAGAGTTACTAATCCCAATAGTAAAAGATGCATTTACTCACATACATACATATAAAAGTAGCTTTGTGACCAATTCTTTAATATGTAAATCTAAGTAATACATGCATAAGTAACACATGCATTAGTTATATACTTAAAGAACTAAAATAAAACAGAAACGTATTCATAGATACAGGGAATAAACTGATGATTACTTGGGGGGTGGGGTGAGAAAGATTGGAAGAAAAAGGGGGAAGGAGACTAGGATACACAAACTTCCAGTTATAAAATAAATGAGCCACAGGGGTATAATGTAGAGCCTAGGGGAAATAATCAGTAACATTGTAATAACTTTGCATGGTGACAGGTGGTTACTAGACTTATTGGAGTGATCATATCATAAAGTATATAAATGTTGAATCACTATGTTGTACACCTGACACTAATATAATATTGTATGCCAACTATGGTTTAATAAACCTTAAATTAAAAAAATAATTGAAATAACAATAGATGTCCTAGGTTTAAGTCACTTTACATTAGCGATTCTATCAACCACACACCTCATTCTTTCTTTAAGTTCTATTATGGGATTTGGTACCAAGTCTCCTTTCTATTCAAAGCAACAGGACACTGTCCATCTTATACACCATATTCAATGACTATTCAATAACTAGGAGAGCTTATGTGCAAAATCTTCCACTCCAGCAAAAGAGTGATTCTCTCACTAGACTTGCCAAGGAGAGGACTCCTGAGTGGCTCTCAGCAGCTGGCTTAGTGCCCACCATGGTGTAGCTGCTCAGGAAATCATTGTTGCATTGGATTAAAATCATACTACCATGGTGAATAACTACCTAGCCCCTCATTCTGTGGGTGACCACTCCTCTTCACCACATTTAGCATTTCACAATAGCAATGATCTCTGCAAATGTTGAGA